AATTGTACAGCTTGCTAAAATTAGCCATGTTGTTATTTTCCATATTTTGCCAATTAATGTAAATGTGTGATGTGTTAAACTTTGATTCTGTTAATAAATGACCCACTGTCGTTTGGTGAGTCAAAGATAATTAACGTCTCACGTTACATTTCTAAATTCAATGCACATTATATACGGTCCAGAAAAATGAAAGAATCCGTTTAATTGATGAATATATCTCATGCATATGTTCATCTACACATTTTTTTTGAAAACTAAAATATAATAAAATGTAATTCAACCAAGAAGAAGAACAGTTAAACTGTGTGCAATTTAATGATTGTGCTTGCATTTTGTTTTGTGTTTATCATTTTCAGAACATGATCAATCGATAGTAGAGAGAATCCACTTGGTGTGTTCAAGGACAGGCAGCATCTCCTCATCGAAGACTAACCAAAAAACTTGAGTAATATAGTTGTGAACCGAGTCAACCTTTATTTTGGTTTTTTAGTTGATTACATATTATTTATGTATAGCTGCTGTTGTAATTATTTAATGTTTGCAGGTCTTATGTGTGTATGCAGGCAAATTGTTGTCATCAAACCATCAGTTGGATGCAAGGCTGTGTGTAGCCTTCTTTTGTAAAATGCTACATGTGTCATACATGTTCTTTGCAGCTCAGTTTTAGGATGTCTTCAAAGCTATTTGACTATTTGTTATTTTTCTTTATTCACTTGGACAGTTTGATCCTTCATTAATGGAGTTGTGTGGGTTTTCATAAGCTGACAAAATTTAAAAGGATTTATGTTAGAGCAACAAGCAAACATATGTTTTCTATGCAACTGTAATTGTCACTTGAATAAGTTATAATAAATAATGAGTTATTTAACATTAAGGAGTAGTTACATTTTATTTTACATTACATTACATTTAGTTACATTTTTAAGTTACATCTGGCCCTTTAAGGACAGCCATTATGCTGATGTGGCCCTGGGTGAAAATGAGTTCGACACCCCTGCTTTATGGAGATGATTTCATTTTTCAGCACGACCTGGCACCTGCTCACAGTGCCAAAACCACTGGTAAATGGTTTACTGACCATGGTATTACTGTGCTCAATTGGCCTGCCAACTCTCCTGACCTGAACCCCATAGAGAACCTGTGGGATATTGTGAAGAGAAAGTTGAGAGATGCAAGACCCAACACTCTGGATGAGCTTAAGGCCGCCATCGAAGCATCCTGGGCCTCCATAACACCTCAGCAGTGCCACAGGCTGATTGCCTCCATGCCACGCCACATTGAAGCAGTCATTCATGCAAAAGGATTCCCGACCAAGTATTGAGTGCATAACTGAACATGATTATTTGAAGGTTGGCGTTTTTTTGTATTAAAACACTTGTCTTTCATTGGTGGGAGGAAATATGCTAATTTTTTGGGACAGACATTTTGGGTTTTCATGAGCTGTATGCCATAATCATCAGTATTAAAACAATTAAAGACCTGAAATATTTCAGTTGGTGTGCAATGAATCTGAAATGTATGAAAGTTTCATTTTTATCATTACATTATGGAAAATAATGACCTTTATCACAATATGCTAATTTTTTGAGAAGGACCTGTATATAAAAAGAGGCCAAGTCTTAGTGCGAGTAAGTTCACTGTGGTGACCGAGGAAGGGAACAGCCGAATGGAGAAAAAAAAATAAAAATTGTAACACTAACTAATTTTATTGTCCATTATATTACTTCATGAGTTATTACTGTAAATGTACAAGTTTTCAATTAAATTTTTTTTTTGTAAGTTCAAATTAAATTTCTTTGGTTTTACTTTTCCAAAAACTTTCAAATCCCATTTTGTTATTTATTTATTTAATAGTATTCCTTAATAATTTTAACTTTTCCCAGCTACATAAAATTAGCTGCTCTGCAGAGGAAACTCATTTTAACCTCCTGTATCCGTGATTTCACCCTTTCCGCCACTACCCAGAGCCAGACCTTAGGTGAGAGTAGGAACATAGAACATAGAACAGAGAGCTTTGCCTTACAGCTCAGCTCCTGCCTTACAGCTCAGCTCCCACTTTACCACAACGGACCAGTACAGAGTCAGCAATACTGCACCAATCCATCTGCCAATCTCCCCTCACTAGTGAACAAAACCCTGAGATATTTTAACTCCTCCAGTTGAGGCAGAGCCTCACCCTGAAGAAAGCAATCCACCCTTTTCTGATTAAGGACCATGGCCTCAGATTTGGAAGTGCCGATTCTCATCCCAGCCGCTTCACACTCCGCTGAGACCCGCTCCAGTAAGAGCTGAAGATCACGGCACAATGACGCCAACAGGACCACATCAACTGCAAAGGTAAGAGATGGAATCTTGAGGCCACCGAACCAGAATCCCTCTGCCCCCTGGCTGCATTGAGAAATTTTGTCCATAAAAGTTATGAACAGAATCAATGACAATGGGCAGCCCTGACAGACTCCAACTCTCACCCTGAAGGGATCCGACTTACTACCGGCAATGTGAGCCAAACTCATACCGCTTGTATAGGGACCGAACAGCCCATAACAACGGGCCCCCAATCCTATACTCAGGGAGCAGCCCCCACAATGCATCCTGAGGAACGCTGTCAAATGCCTTCTCCAAGTCTATAAATCACATGTAGACTGGATTAGTAAGCTTCCATGACCCCTCGAAGCCTCTAGTGAGGGTAAAGAGCTGGTCCAGTGTTCGACGGCCAGGATGGAAACGACATTGTTCCCCCTGTATCTGGGGTTCGACCAGCGATCCGTCTTGCTTCTCCAGTACTCCTGAATAGAGCTTACCAGAGAGGCTAAGGAGAGTAATTCCCCTGTAATTGGCATTGGCACATCCTCCGGTCCCTTTTTTTGAAGAAGGTAACCACCACCCCAGTCTGCCAATCCAGTGGCACTGCCCCCCATGTCTACACGATGTTGCAAAGGTGTGTCAACCAAGACAGCACAGCCCCACAACACCCAGAGCCTTAAGGAAATCAGGGCAAATCTCATCCACTCCCGTTGCCCCACCAAGGAGCTTTTCAACTACCTTGGCAACCTCAGCCACAGTTATGGACAGCTCAACCCCAAAGTCCCCCGACTCTTGCTTCCTCCATAGAAGATATGCCAGTGGGATTGAGGTGTGTGAAGTATTCCTTCCACCTCCCGACGACATCACTGGTTGAGGTCAACAGCGCCCCACCTTCACTAAACACAGTGATTGTAAAGAGCTGCTTTACCCTCAGCTGCCTGATTGTTTGCCAGAATCTCCTCAGAGCCAACCAAGTCTTCATCCAAGGCCTCATCGATATCTTCCCACATCTGAACTTTTGCCTCAGCAACAGCAAGGGCTGCAGACCACTTGGCCCTTCGATACTCTTCAGCTTCCTCCAGAGTCCCACCAGCTAATAAGGAATGGTAGAACTCCTTCACCTTGACAGCCTCCCTAACCCAGGGTGTCCACCACCAAGTTCGAGGATGGCCACCGCAAGAAGCACAGACAACCTTGCGGCCACAGCTCAAGGCAGCCAATTCAATAATTGAGGTGTGGAACAAGGTCCACTCTGACTCAATATCCCCCTCCCCAGCTGGGATGGGGTTTAAGCTCTCCTGCAGGTGTGAGTTGAAGATCTTTCCAATGGGTTCTTCTGCCAGGCATTCCCAGCAAATCCTCACTACATGTTTTGGTTTACTGGGTCTATCTGGCATCTTCCCCTCGCCATCTGATCCAGCTCACTACCAGGTGGCGATAAGTTGATAGCTCAGCTCCTCTCTTCAGAGTGTCCTAAACAAAATGCCGCAAATCAGATGACAACTAATAAAGTAAATTGATCTACGGCCTAGGGAGTCCTGGTGCCAAGTGCACTTATGGACACCCTTATGTTTGAACATGGTGTTTATGATGGACAAACTATGACTAGCACAGAAGTCCAACAGCAGGACACCACTCGTACAGATCAGAGGCCGTTCCTTCCAATCATGCCCCTCCAGGTCATACTGTCATTACCCACGTGGGCATTGAAGTTCCCCAGCAGAATAAATGAGTCCCCAGCTTGCGCACGTTCCACCACCCGTGCCAAGGACTCCAAGAAGCCGTTGCTTAAAACCGTAGTTTGGCACATGACACCAACAGTCAGAGCCCATCCCCCACTCGAAGGAGCAGGGAAGCTACCCTCTCATCTACTGGGGAAAACTCCAACACACACAAGCACCAAGTCGGGGGCTAAGAGTAGACCCACACCAGCTCGGCACCTCTCACGGGCAACTCCAGAGTGGAATAAGGTCCAGTCCCTCTCAAGAAGATTGGTTCCAGAGCCCATGATGTGCGTCGAGGTGAGCCCAACTACAGGTTCTTCTTATAAAATTAGAATATCATGAAAAAGTTGTCAGTAATTCCATTCAAAATGTGACCTTGTATATTATGTTTATTTATTACACACAGACCGATACATTGCAAATTTCTTTTAGTGTTTGATTATAACTGACAACTAATGACAACCCAAAATTCAGTATCTCAGAAAATTACAATATTGTGTAAAGGTTCAATATTGAAGAAACCTGGTGCCACACACTAATCAGCTAATTAACTCCAAACAATTGCAAAGGCCTTTAAATGGTCTCAAGTCGATCTGTAGGCTACACAATCATGAGGAAGACTGCTGACTTGACAGTTGTCCAAAAGACGACCATTGACACCTTGCACAAGGAGGGCAAGACGAAATGTAATTACTAAATAGGCTGGCTGTTCAGAGCTCTGTGTCCAAGCACATTAATAGAGACGTGTAGGAAAGGAAAAGTGTAGAAAAATAGTGTACAAGCAATAGGGATAATCACACCCTGGAGAGGATTGTAAAACAAAACCCATTCCAAAATGTGGGGGAGGATCATAAAGAGTGGACTGCAGCTGGAGACAGTGCTTCAAGAACCACCATGCTTAGACATATGCAAGACAAGGGGTTCAGCTGTCACATTCCTCATGTCAAGACACTCTTTAACAAGAAAGTGTCAGAAGTGTCTCGCCTGCGACTGCTGCCGAGTGGTCCAAAGTTATGTTTTCTGATTAAAGTAAATTTTACATTTCCTTTGGAAATTAAAAGTCCCAGAGTCTGGAGGAAGAGAAGAGAGGCACAGAATCCATATGGCTTGAGGTCCAGTGTCAAGTTTCCAGTCAGTTATGGTTTGGGGTGCCATGTCATCTGCTAGTGTTGATTCACTGTGTTTTCTGAGGTCCAAGGTCAACGCAGCCGTCTACCAGGAAGTTTTAGAGACTTCCTGCGTCCTGCTGCTGACCAACTTTATGGAGATTCAGATTTCATTTTCCAACAGGACTTGGCACCTGCACAGTGTCAAAGCTACCAGTACCTGGTTTAAGGACCATGGTATCCATGTTCTTAATTGGCCAGCAAACTCACCTGACCATAACCCCATAGAAAACCTGTGGTATTGTGACGAGGAAGAAGTGATACACCAGACCCAACAATTCAGAAGAGCTGAAGGCCACTATCAGAGCAACCTGGGCTCATAACACCTGAGCAGTGACACAGACTGATCCACTCCATGCCACGCTGCATCACTGCAGTAATCCAGGCAAAAGGAGCAACAACTAAGTATTGATGCTGTACAGGTCCTTCTAAAAAAATTAGCATATTATGATGAAGGTCATCATTTTCCATAATGTAATGATAAAAATGAAACTTTCATATATTTCAGA